TAGTTGTCTTGTAATTGATTTGCTTTGCTGTGTTTCTCTCCTGGGTGGAGCTAATAATGGGCATTGCTGCCATTAACTCTACTTTCTCCTCAACAAAGACGGTTTTCCTCGATCTCTTCTGTTTCTGAATCTGCTGTTTACTAAAACCCATTTCTTTGAGATCAAAGGGTAGTTTTCCTCTCCACTGGGATGATGGTGGATGCAGGAGTTCGCCCTCATTGTCGCTGTGTCAGTGGCTCCCGGTGGTGGCCAGAGGGTGGCGCCTGTGTACGGCATTCTGGCTTCTGGCAGTGAGCCCCAGCTGTGGCTACGATGCAGCTCACCACCATCAGTGGGTGAATGACTGACTGAAGGTAAGGTTGCTGGGTCTAGTTCTATGAGTACAAGCCGTTGAGCATTTAAAAAGATTAATTTCATGGCAGGGCTCGGTTTGTTGTTAGCTTGTCTGTATTGAATTGGACAGATATGACTTTAGCTGGGATTGGCACAGATTACTGGATTATAAGCTATAAATCATTATTAGCGAACAGACCTACTCATTCTAATATCTCCATTGCCCCCTCCAGCGGATCTTCACTGGTTTTTGCTGGATTAGAGCGGATCAGACGTACTGCTGGGAGGTTTGAGAAGTGGTCCAACTCTGCAGCCTCCCTTTGGTGTTAGAGGAGGAGAACAGCTCTCCTCCTTGTTTTGCTCTTTATTTTTAGCCCAGTGAGATCATTTAGAAGTAATCTGCCATCCAGCTTCTCTGCAACTGAATCCAGCCATTGTTCCTAGGGAGGAAGTGTAAAGGTACACCCTTTTAGAGGACAGACATCCACCCAGGCCCGCCCAGAGTCAGGTCCAGATGCTCTCCTCTCTCTCCTGTTCTACTATCAGCAACATGTCGCACAGATGGCCGCCAGGCTCCGCAGGAAGAGCGAGGCGGGAATTGATGAATGCAGCCTCTGTAGCTCTCAGACAGGAGCCTCCTTCACTGAGTCAATGAGTGACTGCTGGGCTGCAGAACGTCTGCAACTCAACAATCCTGCGCTTTTATTTGTTTTTTTCAGTAAATTATGAAAAAGGAAACTTTTTTTCTGCTTTTCTTCATCAGCTGATCATCATCATCATCATCGCCATTAGTTCAACACCCAGGAATCACATTGAAGCCTTCTGGCCTCCTCTTCCATTACTAGGTTGACCTTAGCGCCGCCCAGGGGTGATGGCTTTCTTTGATATTAAAAGTTTTAGTCCGTCCGTCTCTGAAATGAAGGCTAAGGAGCCTCTGGCCTGCTTCGGTTGATGGATGCTGACATGGAATCATGTTTAGAGGTGAATGTTTAAACTGTTAAATAAGGCTTTGATTTCACCTCTAAACTTCCCACAAACACTTCAAAATGCTTCATAACAGGAAATAAGCAGTAAAATCCTGTCTGATAAATAATCTAATCATTAAAGTGAATAAAAGCTGTAAAAGAGACCATTTACTGAAAGAACAGGAGGATGGAAGGATTATTTACTAAAGGAAGGATTATTAAACATATTCAGATAATAACTGTCCCTGGGGGCAGACCCAGGGTCTGTCCCTGGTCTGGGTCAGGATCAGGATGTGGGTCAGGTTAAGGTTCTGGGTCAGGGTCACTCACCGCCTCGGTGTGGACAGGATGCACCGCGAAGAGGAGCGCCGTGATGAAGGCCAGACGGGGCTTCTCAAACACATAACGTTCACATGTGTGCATGAGCAGGCAGGTAGCGGCGCAGTGCAGACAAACGTTGATGATGTGGAAATATAGCGGCGTCATGCCGCCCAGCAGGATGTTCAACCTGATTGAGAGAAAAGCAGAAATGATGAAAGAAGCAGCTGCTGGATGAGGTCCTGCTCACCTCCTTTCTGGACCATCAGCTGTTGAACAGCAGGGGGTCCCTTTCTCTGACGTCACACAGCTGTAGATTATCATCATCTGCCTCATTGTTCTAAGGATCCAGATGTTAATACTGTTAATATTAAGCGGTGGAAAGAACACAGCGACTCTCTGACTGCATGGCTTTGATTCCCGGGGCTCCGGTGGGCCTGGATACCCCCCCTCCTGACAGCAATGCAGCCCAGATCTACCATAGGAGATCCCAGGTCAGGCTACACAGAGGCAATCCAGCATCTCCCCGCAGGGGGAAGATACTGGCAGGAAGGGAGTACATGGACATCATTGTCGAAGGGATACAGAACATAAACTGGAGACTCCCAGGTCAGGATGGGAGCCCCCTCCCAAGGTGGTGGAGAATGACAGACCTGAGATCCTCTAGGACTTCCTGATGATGAGTCAGATGATGGAAACAGAAAACCAAGGCCTCAGGGAGGAACCAGAGAG